TACCAAATACCAAGCCCTGTTCATACGTCAATATGGTTGGCTTTATTCACTCTATATTTAAATAGCATGTAACAAGGAAATGATAGTAATTAAGAGAGAAAAAGTCCTTAAGGGAACGAGGATCCTAAAACAGTGAATACACCCTTACGAGTTTCACAAAGGAGAGAGAGAGTTCACGGGGAACAATATTGGCAAGGAAACACTTAAAAACACTCTACTACTGTCTTGAATTTAGGTCCCTAATTCCCATGTAGTTCTAGTTCTCCAAGGAGTTAAATTTTTTCCCTATGATAGCTTAGAGCCCCAACAAGTCAATGGCCTCCTCTGCCTTCCCCAAGTCTTGCATCTTACCATCCCAACAGCAAGGAAAAAGAAATCCAGAAAACACACAGTGGAGAGAAAAGAAAAAAAAATGTTGACCCTGATGTTTAGGGTGAGCTGTCTGAAACTCTCCCCAGGACTGCCTTTACTGGGCAGCCATAACGGCCCCAGAGTCCACCTCGTCCGACCTCTTGTGACTTTGGAAAAACATCCTGTAAGTTGACAAGGAAGGAAACTTGAAGAGAGAGTAATGGCTGGCTGGACCTTCTTCGAAGAAGTAATGACACTGTCCAGCTACTTGGGAAGAACTATATCTAAAAAGAGATCTGGGGCCTGGACTTGAATCTATTTCTCCTTTGGAAAAAAAATCTATGGTGATATGTATTGTAGATCCCCATTTTTTATTCCATATATCTATTTTATCTCTAATCTTTTTTATTTCCGTATTCTAGAAGAACATGTCAAATTGTTTTCTCAGTCGCTGAGTTGCCTTTATATAGCTTCAGTTCTGCTGTTTATGACCTCAGTTGTGAATTTAAATTGTCCATATTTCATCTTAAGTTTCCTAACATTTTAAATTGCCTACTTACGTGTACTTAGCTATCATTCATGAAATTTTAAATTATTTTACTGCTCCAATATTGGATCTTGGCCAATTCTAATTGTGAGATTACATACTTGTGGTAAGCAATTACTTACGATTTAGTGATGACAAAATGATGTTACTTGTGAAAGTTACATCTAATTTTCAATGTGTATGTGGACAAAAAGGGGTATAATAACTTATACACCTCCTCGTTGCAAAGTGATGTTTCTACAATACAAAGATACTGAATGAGATCGAAGAAAATCTCCAAGAATGTAGAGCACAAAATATAAACAAAAGAGAGTGATGAGACATAGAAAACCAAATAAGGAGGTCAAATATACATTAAAAAGCATTTTCAGGGAAAAACAAAGGAGACATTAATCAAAGAAATAATACGAGAGTATTTACTAGAGATTAGAAAAAACACAAATCTTAAGGTTAAAAGTGTCAAGAAATAGAAATTTAAAAATACCCACAGTTAGATACATAATCCTAATTTTTTTCACATTAGGAATAAAGAGAAGATTCTAAAAACCTACAAAAAGAGAAGAGAGTAAAATCAACTACCTACAGAGAAGTAAGAAATGGAATTACACTTGTTTTTCAACAGCAACGCTGGATGATAGAAGACAGTGGGACATGCTTCATTGCAAAAGTTTTAGAGTATTAGGAAAATGAAACTTACATGAGAGTGGGCATAAAATTTCATGGCAATGCCTTACTAGTTAAGCATCAGCTACAAGAAGATGTTTTCAGCTAAGTTCCTAATGAAGAATTGACTTTCCCGTTAAAAGGTGGAAAATAGGGCGCGTGGGTGGCTCAGATGGTTAAGCGTCTGCCTTCGGCTCAGGTCATGATCCCAGGGTCCTGGGATCAAGTCCCGCATCGGGCTCCCTGCTCCTTGGGGGCCTGCTTCTCCCTCTGCTTCTCTCTCTCTCTCTCCCTCTGTCTCTCATGAATAAATAAATAAAATCTTAAAAAAAAAAAGGTGGAAAATAAAAATGCCCTCATTTACTCACCAGAGATAGTGTTGCTACATAGATAATACATGGATGGCATCTCAGCCAGAGGTGAACACCCCAGCACGCACTCAAAACAAAAGGAAGAAAGGCAGTCACTGCTTCACACGATCCATTACCAGTTAAGTATAAATCAAAATGTTGGTGGGAAGCAAATCTTTTCACAGACTTTATGTATGGAACTCATCATAAAATATAAAGCAAAGTCATTAAGGTTTTAAGCAACTCAAACCAAGGTGATATACCACCACGGTATGGTTAGGGGCAAGACCATGATGGAGCCCATAAGAAGAGGACCAAGAAAGCTAAAGCATCTCCAAGTTTTGAGAATCCCAAGTAATTTGTGAAGACTTTCCCTTCACAATAGTATAGTATCATAGTTGCCAAATAATTTACGCTTAAGGCAATGTGGAATAAGCATATTGGTTCATAGTCTATATGCAGTGAAGAAATTGAGAAGAATGTACAACAAAATACTAGCAGGAATTATTTTCAGTTATTTTCAGATAATTATTTTTACTTTCTTCTTTGACTTTATAAAGAGAATGAAATACTTTTATATTCAGAAAAAATAAAGCAGCTTTTTTCAATTGATAAAATAGAAACTAGAATATATTAATAATGGCAAATATATAAATGTAGGCTGCCAAGATGACCATACTCCTTAATATAGCCAGAAGCACTAAGACCAGTCCAATTTATACCAAAAGAAAGCTGAAATTATCAGCAACAAACTACACTGTTTTTTTAATCTTTACATAGTGATGTAGCCTGAGTTTATCTCACAATTTTTGTTCTTATTGAGAAAAAAAAGCTGACAGCACTTATACGACCTAAAATGTGCAGT